AAACCCCCACAGACCTTGACCCGACCGACCTCAAAGAATACACCCCCGCAGACCCCTTTATTGAAGTGAGCCTAAAGGATGGCCTCATGGCGTCTGTGGTAGGGAACACCATGGTGCTTGCCGGCGAGGTTGCTGCTCGCTGGTGTGCTGACCGTGGGATTCCCGTTCCTTACCGCCAAGATGGAAAGTCTGCTCAAAATTATGAGATGGCCCTGAAATATGCCACCGACGAACTTTATCCCCAAATACAAAAGGGTATCGAACCATCCATGGAGCAGCGAGCGGAGCTTTCTGTTCTCACAGGTGGTGTAGAGATTGCCGCAACTCCTGGTCCTTATTTCATAATGGGCCTTGACATGTATACTAAAACTACTTCACCCCTCCGACGCTACTCCGACCTCCTCACTCACTGGCAAATTCACGCGGCATTAGCCTACGAACACGAGAATCAACTCAAGCTAAATGGCTCTCAGCATGACCTTGATCGTATTCTACCTTTTTCCAAGGATGAAATGACAAGCACAATCGCGCTCCTCCACATGAGGGAGAAGATGTCACGTCGTGTTTCCCGAGCTGACCGTGACTGGCTCCTCATAGCCCTCGTAAGGGCTTGGCGTTTCGAGAAGACGGCGCCATCGTCGTTCCGCTTCACGGTCTCGTCACGATGGAAGACGGGCCTGGTTGGCAATCTTGACTTTTTCGGTCTGAGTGCCTTCTGCGATGCCATCGGCCTGCAGAACAAGGTGCTGATCAAAGATGTGAAGGTCGGCGATCAGCTCGAGGTGGAACTGGCTGATATCAACGTCCACAGTGGCGAGATCATGGTTCAAGCATTGGACTACCTAGGGCCTCCCAAGACCGCCTCAGAGGAGTAAACTTGCTCACACGTGCACCAAAGTGCGCAATGCCAGCGTTGACTGTATAACTACCTCCCATGTACTATATTTTACGATGTACAAACCCAAGAACATGCAATGATAGAAATGACAATAGAACAGGAGTCATCTAGACTAAAAAAGCCTTGAATACTCATTAAACGAATGCAACAGGACTACCCGGCTCCAAACTTGATGACTTACGCCCAGATGCCCCAATCCAGGAAATTCACTAGCATTGCCCGCCCAGGAGAGCAGCCAGCTCACACACACACAATCACAACCTTGTGATGTCACCCAACACATCGCATCAATCAAACAACCTCAATACCTCGGCATTATCTCACACTTGATGACCTGGCATATTTCCTCCGTCCAAGCGTAAGACGACCGCCCATCCTTGCCTATTCCCAATACGTCACGCCCCAAACCCACACCCGGCCGCTTGAGACTGTGGGGTCCCCACACTTGGACCCCTGACCTCCCCTCTCGCTTTTTTTGTTGGGGAAATGACCTCGTTCACGATAATCGCCCATCGACACCGCCCGTCCAACCCGTCTGAGCTCAGCCTACCCAAAGGGACCACGGCTTGTCTCCACCCGGGTTTCACACTCCCGACCAAATAACGATGCCCTGTCTGGCCACGCCCCCCCCCTTCATCTCCCCCACGGACCTTGCATCATTGTAAACGTAGCCCGCAGCTGGGCTTGCGTCTTGTGACCTCGCAAAAAAAGGAATTATGTCTGCGCCCCCCCTCGTCTCCCCAATCTTGCACATCCATGCCCAGGTTCAGGGCGGTGGCGAAAATAGGCGGTGACACAATGTAATTATCGAAAGAAGGAATCACTAGAGGTGAGGGAGAGGGAGGTTGTTTGGTTGTGTGCTTATTATTTGCGTGTGCTAAGTCTATGTACAAATCCAATCCCAGATGAACCTCGCCGAAGGTAGGAGGCGTCCATTTTTTTCTCGCACCCTTCTCCGACGGGGTGGTTTTTGATCACCCTTGCGCCCTATGCAGTGATTTTTGTGCCCCCCTCGCCCGAATGTCCAAGTACCTATCCGACCGTCGTGTGTCCTGACCGTATGTTTTTGACAAACCGAATACACCTGGTCCGATCCTTGAATCTCTGTATGAAGCCGCCCAGACCGTTGAAAAAAAAAAAGAAACCGAAACACCATGTGCCAGCCTATGATTTGTGAAAAGGAGAGTAAAGGAAAAGAGTAAGCAATAAGAAAACATAATGAGTGGAACAAAATGAGGGAAACAGATCAAGGTGCCTCGAAAAATGGAGCCCTTGATCAGCGAGATCTACCAGCTCGAAAAACCAGCAAACATCCACGCGGCGACACTGTTGCCAGTGATGGATAATTATTAAAGACATCTAGTCATGTATATAACCATCGTTGTCGCCGGCCAGTGTGGTCATGTTTGAATATTAGAAGGACGCGGCATATTGACTTCTGCCGAGGCCGAACAGCCATGTGCTGCGGCCAGAAGTTGATGTTCTCTCATCAGATTATAAAGGACTGAGTTATGATCATCCAAGAGGACATCGTTGGCGGATACAATAGAAAAGAATGATGGGCATCGTAGGGAGCTACTTTCTCCAACCGACGTTCCAGATGACATGCGCAATATCTCGGGCAGTGTTCACAGTGTCAATGACACGACCGAAGATAGTCTCGCCTGTCACGGCATCAATTTCTTCACTAGGCATCAGCATGCCGGATGGAGTTCGCCGCATTCCACCCGGCACGTCGTTTAAACTCCCCGAAGATGTTGATCTTTGAAGCCCCCCACCAGACTCATACGTAGGAGAGCGCCAGCCAGCGTTCGGATCGCAGAAGCCATCAGTTGGATCTTCCTCATCATCGTCGTCATCGCCAAACATGAATCGAGTTGAGCGACGAGAAGGTCGAAGAGTCTCCTGCGAAGATGAAGGGGAGAGGACAGGGCTGCGTGAGTGCTTCATGGCAGTCTCTTGCGGTTCGGGCGTGTCTTCGCGATATTTCAGGGTAGTAGAGGGAAGCATTGCAATGGTTCTCCCTTCGGCAGACAACGAGCCTCGGTTCTTCTTCCTCATTTTGGGGATGATTTTCTTCGACCTTGTTCGTTTCATGACCACGCCATCGTCGGAGTCGCTGTCAGAATCCAATGGTTCAATATCAACCTCATCGTCGTCTTCACCCTTGATCTCGACGGCGATGCATTGCTCGACCTGTTCATTGAAGTGGATATGCTTCCTCTCCGTATTTGGCGATGTGATACCCGACGATTCGGTCGAGGCGGCTGTACTACTATTGGTAAGATCGTGACTCATCCGTCTGCTTGAAAAGGGATAGGTCACAAAATCAGTTCTCGACCTGACCAGGCTTGGCCTAAGCACTTTCTTCGTCTCTTGAGCTTGTACCACAGCGGTAGCCTGTTTCAACAGAGAAGCAGTGGACAGGGATCTCTGAAGCATGACTTCAGACATGCTTCGCTTCTTCAGAATAGGCTTCTTGTGTAGCCCGATAAAAGAATCGGTCTTTGATAGGCAGGCGCTTGAGGATTCCGTCTTGGAGGGTGAAACTTTTCGCTCTCCCAATTGCAGGGGGCCATACAGCCAGGTGACATCACACTCCTTGAGCCTAGAGATTGGGTCAATATACAGAACGGAACAGACGTGGAGATTTCTGTCGACTTACCAATTCAGCGTTTCCGGTGACACGGTGCTCAGATTGTTCTTTGACTTCATCCATGTACGCCAAGATGCATTTTCCAACCTGGCACTGTTCGGATACTCGCCCCTACGAGATACAATGTATCTCCACGAAGACCAGATATCTTCTTCTCTCCACTCATGCGATAGATAGTCCACTTGGCGGGACGGGCGGGTGGTCACAGCGGTGTCATCTTCGGCGTGCTCGGGGCATTCGGGAGTGTCAGGTTTGGGTGTATCGGTTGCGCTGCCGTAGTCGGCAGGAGAAGGCGTGTATGAGTCGCCGGTTCTAGGGCTCGGGGGAGGCTCTAGATTATCGTATGTGCCGGGAGGGGGTCGGAGAAACAGCTGATCCCGCTTGTATGGCGGAAAACCGAAGTCATCGTCGATAGCAGTCTCGTCAATAGCCAGAGTGTCGTCGTAGTCGTAAGGCAGTGAAAAGTTACTTGCGGGGGTTGAGGCACAGCTAAGGTCGGCAGACTCTGTGTGATGCGTGCGGGGGGATGAGGATGCGGTGGAGGGCACAGATTGGGAGTATGATCTGGAAACAGGATTATACGACCCCTCGAGAGATGTCGTCGTGGGTGTATTGACGAATTGGGATTGTGAGTGTGATCGACGCAGCGAGCCAGAGCTGAAGTAGCTGCTGTCCTCGGATGGAAGGACAACCTCCATACTGTAAGTGCGATCCTCGCGTAGGAGATGCCGCAGCACCGGGGAGAAAGAAAGAAAAACAATTGCTCCTCAAAGAGTCATGGAGGATTCGGTGACAGGAAAGATATGGATATAGTGTGGCTTGGAGTGACTCTTCAGCGGAATCGAGCCGCCGTCGAGTATCCAGCACAGGGAAAGGGCTATGATGAGGACCAATTTGATCGCGGTTCGAGTCCAGAGGAGATGCAGGTCGGGGGCGATTGAAGAGAACAGGACATAAATGGGGTGCGACGCGCCGACGGCCAGGCGAATGAAGAGTCGCTTGCGGCCGATAACAAATCTTCGTGGGGTGGGCAGACGAAGACAGGGCGCAAGCCTCTTTTCAGTAAACCGACACAACACACGGGGATTAAATGCAGGTCGAGGCTGAGTCACAGCGGATCAGAAGGCCGAAAACGAGGGAAATGGGTCCGCGGGAGAGAAGGTTTCACAGACTTCCCGATCCAAAGGCCGAGGGTGAAACAGTGGGAGGAGGATGGAGAATGTGGAGGAGACAATGCAAAAAGAAAAGAAAACACAGGGGAGGCTTCAGCAGATGCAAGGAATGGAGTAGAAGAAGTAGGTGGATAGGAATGGGGGAGGACAGAGGCAAGATGATCAGGACAAACGATCGGCATTCGATGAATGGGTGAAAGGGACGATGGGGATCTCGCCGTCGGCAAGTTAAAAAAAAAATAAACCAGTGGGTGACCAGCACGGCGGACCAAAAATGCGCACTGATGCGAGCGGCCTGCAAAGCACCAGACCCGACCCAAGCAAGCTCCACCAGGGCATGGTTGGCCTGGAGGCTGTAGCCTGTAAGTCTACAGTGATTGCAGGGCACTTGGCAGAAAGCGTGCTGGGGAGAATACGCTGCAGTGTGTGGCTTGGGGGGCGGGGGCCGTCGCTGGCTAGCGACTTCCAGTGGTGGATGTCGTGATTGGTAGGGCCTCGAGGTATGGGTACGGGGACTGCCCATATCCCACCGGGGAGCTCGCCCAGTACCGGATACCTGATTTACTACCTGGGCCCGCGGTACCTAGACGACCCGACAATGCTAAAGTTTGCGACCCACCCCGCCGAAATTTACAGGCTGCAGAGCCGGTATACAGGGGAATCCTTGCCCCCTCCTAGCCTTGACACCCAGGGTGGAGAAAGGAGGGTGCTGGTCGCCTCCACCCACCCATATCGAGATATCTGTGGGCTAGAGAAGTTCTCGACTTTGGATGGATGGCGAGGTGGACGACCCAAAGGGGTAGGCAGCTTGGCTAGGCATTGGAAGTGGGAAGTCATCTTATCCCAGTCAGGCCCAAGCCTGGAGCAGTGCCGTGACGGCATCACGTTGTGGGCAGTCTCCAGACATGGCAGGCAGGCAGCAAGACGTGACAGTGTGGGCTGATGGTGGAGGTCACTGGCTACGATGTGCCCCCGAAGCTATTTGGCTCAACGGATTCATTGCGGCGAAAAATGAATAGAAACCCTTCAGGCCTAGGCCGTGGGGATCAGCAAACGTTACCTACCTGCCTAGCCTTGGTAGTCGCCGCTAGGGAATAGTAAGCACATTGCCTTGGCCGGTGCATTCTCGTCCTTGCAGTAAATATCTTGCTTCGATTGAGGCGTCCTCCAGCGCCAGCATGGCCAAGCCGGTCAGTCGGTCAGCGGGGGACGAACGCCTCAGCCACCAACCAGGAGCCAGGAAACGCGAAACAAAGCCCGGGGCAGGTTCAGGGCTTGCATCATTGGTGCCGATCCATGCTGGCCGACAATAGCGGGGGCATGGGTGGTAGAATTGAGAGACTTGAGGCGAGATTGCGAGTAATGTGTCGCCTCCGCGCTTAGGCCTTCACCATCGCAGAATTTGCCCATTCGCAATTCAAGGGATCGCATGACGGCCCGACGACAGCGACCCTTAGACACGAAGCAAATTCCATTACATTCCCAACCTTCAATTGACCCCCACTACTCATATCCCGCCCTGAATAGCTCACGCTATCTACCATCATGCCGTTTTGTTTGGCTCGGTACCGACTGAGGACACGACCCTCAACGCCTATCTAGTGGAAATGACCGGGCTCTTCACTCCGCATGTTCCAGCCCAGGTATTAGAAGTCCAGAGGTCTGCTCCCTGGCTCTGTCTTTGCTTCCCGTTTTCGGTGTCTCAGACAGAAGGGGTTGATGGACGCTGATTTGGGAGCCAAACCAACACCCGTTAGCTATGGGGTGCAGCCCATTGCCGCATGCATATTGACTGGTCCCAGCTTCAGCCAACAAGCTCCAGTGATTGGACAGATAAGCTCTCTCTCGGTTGCTTCTTTGCACGCACGGCGCACAAAGAAGGTAACACGAACGCGTCCACGACGAAAGCCTATCTGCTCCATTTGGCTGACGAGGCCGCACTTCAGACTTGGAGGCTTCGAAACCTAGATAAGAGGAGAGCTGATCGTGATTCGCCCTGACTAGGCTGGCCACCAAGGGGCCGCCCGAGAATGTTCCGCTGGTTATTCTTGTAAACAGCGCGCCCTCGAAAGAGCCACACCTCGTCTGGAATGGTATGTGCCTGGTTCTAAGTTTACGATCCGCGCGTCTTCCCGAGGGTTTCCAGCCAAATGCTGGAAACTACTAATGTGATCGGCACTCAAAAAGATCTATCCTCTAGTAAGATGCCATTCATGCAAGCCTGCACAGACCTGGCGACTGCAGCCAAGCCACCAACCTTAGTTCTGAGCTGCAAAAGATTGCGTGGACTTGCCTGGTTATCATGTAATCTTTCCCCTCATTTTGACGTAGTTAGCGGAACGCCTTGACCTTGGCCTAGCATCAATGGCTGAATAGACTTTCATGCCAATTCGAGTGACAAAGCAGCCATCTTTCGTCTACACATGAAATCAGAACGACTCTGCAGCAGGGGTTTGGGGTGGTAACCGAACTCACTGCAGCGATGATTGCATCATTATAGGCAAGGTATCTAGGAACGTGCAAGGTTGGAGGGTCATCTCTGTTACACTATGATATAATAGGAACCCAATGGCTGACAACTAGGAAGAGAATAGTGGTGTGCTTGTTTAGTTTGCATAAATTAGCAAATGCTGGCCAGACTATCATCTGTAGTGTATTGCAACTCACACACTCCAGAGTATTGTTCTCGAGAAGATATGGTCACAGTTGCATTGGCCTGGCTATGATCCTTGAGTGATGTAAGTATGTGCATATATGCACGGCCGTTGTCAATACCATGCTGTGTAGCACACCCACCTAAACTGGCCTGGCCTAACTGCTGCAGGTGGATGTAAGGGTCGATAGTGTCGTCTCGGGGGTGGTATAGCTGATATCCGACGTAGGCAACCCGAAGGATGCCTGCACGAATACACACCCCCTTGCGGCGACCACTAGGTTGGGTGGCCAGCTTGCATTTAAGTGATATGTCATCCTTATACGACCCCTCGAAACGCTCGTAGTCGATCGCCACGGTCGTTGAGGCCCCCCTCTTCTTAATTTGCCGTGGACGCTCGACCCGGTGGCACCCGGAAACCCGTACAGGGTACGGATGAACACAAGTTCACAACGGTTTTGAGCATGCAAGGGCTTGTCGGTACCAACAAGGTGTCGTACAGGGACTTGCGCATTCCTACCCTACATTGCCGTACATAGTAGGTGTGTGCTGGTATTGTGCGGAGCCATTCATGGATCTCCTCGCTTCCTCGCTTGAGGCACCCCTTGTCCCCTCCTATCCAGCGATCACCATGCGGGTAAGTAGGGATCGGTACTAGCGACGCTTAAGCCGCATTTTGGGAGTTAGTCTGCGCCGGCAATCCCGGCCTGTGTTCCAGAGAGAAGGGCCATCTAAACCTCCAGGTTTACACCTTGAAATGGATGGTGAGGAGAAGATAAGCTGTGTGATGGGTAGCAATGTGATTATAGGGAGGAAGAGGAGACTTAGGCTGCTACTCGAGTCCTGGTAGGTGTGGAATGAGTTGTTTGCTCGCGTGACCATTTCCAAATCCATCTTTATCCCCGATGACTTCCGATGACTTCAAGGCACAATGAGGAGAGTGCACATGCGATTGCCCAAGCTCTAGGCCGAGGATAGCTGCATCGAAGTTGAGCTGGAGCTGGCCTTCTTTCTGGTCAAAGAAGCTTCTAAAACTGGGGATTCAAAAAACCGTACCTGCCGAATTTGCCCATTGGCCTAGCGCCTGCCTGCCATCGAAGCATCGAGGTATCACAATTGCGACAAGCATTGATACTCGCACCTGCTCTGGTCTTTCTCTCTCTTCTGGTTGGGCAGGCACCTGCCTCCTTGCACCTGCCTGCACCTGGCATTTGGTGAGTTTTGACAACTTCTTCCCACGGCCTCTACGTACCTGCACAATGTAATTCGTCTCTCATGAAACCCCTCCTCCCCCATAGCAACCTTTTAGCGCGCTGGCCATGGCTGCAACTGGATCCGTAGCGCTTTTCAATGTTGCAGTGCCTGCGAGGTCATCGGATGACAGGCGTTGACTTGTCGAACCACCTTGGCCAACTCCGTATCAGCATGTCGGCCTCTGTGGCCGCCATTGGCTGGCTCCTGGCCAGCGCCCTCCAACCCAGATTGATATGCACGCACGCGCACACACGCATGCATGTACATATGCAAGCAGCGCAGGACGGCACAGGCGCTGCAAGCAACTTGCATCAACCAACCAACGCAGTCGATAAGCTCCGAGTCCCAGCTCAAGCACTCGCAGCTCTAGCTGGTGTAGCCGGCTATCGAGCTTCGCGTTTCTACACCCACGCCTCGCAGAGGACTTGTAGAGGAGTTGGTGGCCTCCTCTTGACTTTTAGCTCCAGAGTTACCAGCCACCGGCCAGCCATGTCGCTTATCTTCAATTGACGAGCACAACCACCGTCGGTAAGGTCTCGGGGAGATAACACGAAGAGGGATAAACTTTTCCTTCGCCAGCCTCTCACTATGTCTGTAGGAAGTCAATCTGTTGACTGGACTCTCACCTGGCTGAAGCAATTGACATGGTCCCAAAGGTGGCTTCTACCCGGATGCTGGCATGCAGCTATCTCCTTGAGCCTCTCAAGCTCTGCATATTCGCCTAACCTTGGCCAATTGAACCGCATTTCGGCGTTTAGTGATCATTCATCCTTGAGCAATCGAATCGGAATACGAGCTAATTGTAACGAGTGATCCCTGATATACGCCAGGTGGGCGCCATGCATCCTGTCAAAATCGCATCATGGCGCAGGAGGTGTTGTGGGAAGCATGCAACTTTGCAAACTATCCCGAGCACCATTCTTTGTTCTCCTTGGGTTCTGGTCTGTTCCGTTCTGGGCAGTGATACCCTATCGGTGCCACCATTTTACGGAAATGTTATGCATGTGGCACCTCAGAATCTGCAATACTACCCCTCGGCATCCCAACCGATTACACAAGATCAGTCACTTCTCTCTTCAGCCAAGTACGCGGATATGCAATGTAATATCGGTGTGTATCTGGCTACCCTCCATCATAAATATCTGGGTGGCAGCCCATGCTCTCTAGGTCCCTGTTTATTCTCGTTGTTACGTCTGTCGAACTAGTGTATGTGGTAAACCTTTCGTCCGGGCGAGGAAGTCATTGTAGCCGAAAGCTTGATGCGCCAGTTGTCGGGCATTTTACCTACGTTGACATACATGTCTAGCTTGCATCCATGTCATCGCGACACGAAGGCTTATGCATGGATCCTCGCCACGACGGTTTAGAGGATGTAGAAGTTCCCACATGCCCCCCTCCAGGTTCGCCGTGACTGGGATGGTATGTCCCACAGTGCCGGGGCTATTGCGGAGTTCTGAACCTCGGCGGAGGGCCACCTCCGGCCTAGGATAAAGAACGCTACATGCAAGAGTTAGGGACGGTGCTGCTCGGGATAGGTGAAGAAGACCTGTGATAAAACAACATAGCCAGATCGATCAGGATACTTTATGGGCTCGGTCAAGGGGAGCGCCTCCACGACTATTGTTAGCATATGGTAGATATTGTTAGCATATGGCCGAAGGAGGCAGAACAGAAGGCCTGAACGAATAATTGTTGTCAGATTCTCTTGATATTTTCTGGCGGGCTAGCTGAGCAGTACGCTAAAGAGCTTGTAAATACACAATCTGACTCTATGGTTACACGGCAATCGCAATAGCTAAAAGAACGAGGCAATCCAATTGAGTGTTGCTATGATGTACTGGAGACCCTTTATTGATGGATCTTGACCTTGATTATCCTGTGACGAACTTGCTACCCAAAATGTCTACACAATGGCTCTAGGAATATCACGGAAATACTGGTGAAATAGGTTTCTTCCTATACAGCCTCGATTCAGAGCGCACAGGCCATTCATCCTTAGGAGGAAGCTTAGATACGACATAGAACCGGTTGGTCGACTCGAAACATCCAACGAGATCAAGCCAAGTAGTTAAGCCACCCACCCACCAGGACCTACTGCACACCACTTGAACTCCAAACGTGTCTAGGCAGAGGAGGAGGCCGCCCTCCCCCTTTGCGATGCGACTGGTAGGGTGACTATGCACCCATTTGAAGGGTTTCTATCTTGCTGCTGCTGATTACCTTGCGGCCAAGATCCGACCCTGCCACATGCGATCAGAACCCCTTAAGGGTAAGATTGACCCCTTGACCGGCGCAACCACCATCGCCGATCCTCCTCTGGTGTTTTGTCATATGTCACATCTGCGTTGTAGAGCTTGTTGGCACAGCCGTTTGACGGGCTGGCGACCACACGTGCGGCCACAAGTTCGGAGTTGCCAACGCTTGGGTCATTGATTGGAGGGCCGAAGAGCCCCAGGAGACAAGATAAGGCACAATGGCAGCCAGAGCAGGTTGTGAAAAAAAAGTCCCTGCGAGTGCCGGGACCCCTCGCATGGTCGGGCGAGCGTCTATGCCGTTCGGCTTGCCACTCCGGGAGCGTCGTGCATGAAAACCATGGGGGGGAGGAGGGGAACCATAAAGAGGGGCCAGGGGTTCAGCCGGACGGGGCCTTGGAGCCTTTTGCTGGAGACACGCTTTTACACCCTCGGGGCGAAGGCGACCTTGGCTGGGAGCCGGAAGCTGGCGCAGAACATGCGCTTGTTCGGTGCGACGTCTCGGACCTCGATGATGCTGCACTGGCCTTCCTTCTCCCCATCCCCATGCTGCAGCGCGACGCCAATCTCCTTCTCGATGCGCTCCAGGATCTCGGCGTAGGTCGTGTCGTCGTTGAGCTTGGGGGCGAAGCAGTGGGCGTGGACGAGTGGGAGCTGGGTTTTGGTGTGAGGGGCGAAGAGCTCCTCGTTCCCGAAGTACAGGCCGCGGAAGTTGTGCAGAAACTCGAGGGCGGAGGCTGGGAGGTTCATGACGAAATGAGATATGGTTGGAGGCACGGGGATGAGGATGTTGCTGGGGGGCGACTTTGGGGGAGGGGCCTTCCTCGAGGGCTTGGGCGGCTTGATAACGGCATGTTCCTTGCGTTTGGAGGCTTCGAGAACAGAGTCCGCCGCATCACGAATGAAGCTATGTCCGTCGTGATTAAAAGGCCTAACAAACTCGGAGACCTTGTTTCTAACGATGGCGGTCTCTAAATACTTGTAGCTTTCGGGGTTCTTGTCGTTGGCCCAGACAAAGACACCCTTCTTTCCGGCCGGAACGGCGAAGGGGCCGATGCCTGCCATGACGTCTGCAACCACCTCGCCGGGCTTGAAGATGTCGATCAGTCTCTGGTGCTCGTTGCTGAGCTTTGAGTTCCAGTAGACCCTGGAGTAGTCGAACTTGAAGACACAGTCGGCCTCGGTGACCTCGACGACCAGATCGTCGGCTCCTGCTAGCACCTCGTAATTGAAAGTTCTGAACTCGTTGGCAGTTCCGACATCGTCGATCTTATTAATGACGGTCTTCACAGCCGGGTTTTTGTCAATGATGATTTGGCCGATCACCTCCTTGTATGGCAGATATTGCTCTCTGAGGTTGAGATGTGCTGCGATGAACGATGAGTTTTACAAGCCCACTCAATCAGTCCTAGGGGGGATGTTGACTTACCGACATGTCCCGCCGTGTTGAAACCCGATGGGATTTCGTCGTGCAACTCCTCAGGAAGGATAGATTTCATAATGTCAACTTTTCCATAAGTTAGCCGGCCTGCTACTATGGACTAAATGGAACTAGGAGGTGTAATACATACGGTATCTCCAGTAAGTGTAGTCGAAGTCTGCTTGGTAGGGTATAATTTCTACCTCACCATCCTCTGAGCCCTTTCTCAACACGGAACTCCATGTTTCTGGTGCTGCTTGTCGAACTCATGTTAGAGAAGAGCCATCAAAAGGATTACAAAGAAAAATGGCGATATCACAACATGGCCGTATGATATGTTCAGGACTTACAGGCTGGGTCGACACTAGGCTTGAGAACCAGGCACTTCTTTCCCGCCTTCGCAGCCTCCGGGTCAGGATGCGGAGCAATAGGACTAAACTTTTCCACCTGGATCAACTCCTCCGACTTCTCCAGAGCCTTGCGATACCTGGACAGCAGCGTGTTCTGGCTTACAAGCGCAGCGGATGTAGGCAGGACTTTGAAGAACAAAGATTTGTCCAGGGACTTCATGGCCCGGGCGGCCGGCGCACGAAACAAAGTGGCCATGTCGATTTGTTCAGTTGCTTTCGCAGGCTATGGCCTCATGTCAACAACCGTCAATCTTTATACTTGAAGAGAAAATGAGATGAGTGAATTTTGGGGAACAACTTAGACTGAACTAACCTCCATGATTTGAGTCTGGCTCTGGGTATGGGTGAAATCTCACGATGCTTGAATAATTTTGGTGCTAGTTTTATACAACCTGGATATGTGACTCTACCTGTGATTCATACTGTGTGACCGGGGTCGGAAAATATGAGAAGTAGTGGAGAATTAAATTTGAGTTAGTACCTACCTCGAGGTGCACCGCCACAATACAAGTAGCTTCTCGGACCCTGTGGCTTTATGCCTATCAGACAAGCTACGGTAACTAACAAACGGTTGAGAGTGACTGACATCATGAGTCGAAGCAAAAGATATTTTAAGTAAAACGGGTTCGCCATAGCGCTAGCCGATGTTCCAAGCACTCTAACACGTTTTACGCGCCATCATGTCAAAAAAGAGAACCATAGATTCGTTTTTCCAGGCCCCTCCAAAGAAGCCCCGTACAGAGGAGACAGCAGAGGAGACAGTGAGTAATGGGCCAAACAGGCCAGCCATGTGTCGAGCTATTTGTATTGCCTATCCTGACTTGCTCTGCGAATAGATTGAAACAACAAATCATGTCCAATATCCATTTCCTATTAAAAATTTACCACCTTCGCTAGCCAGCGACATCGTGTCTCTGCCCGCCCGCCCGGGGAAAGAGATCAATGACCAGCCAGACCTTGATTTGCTGTACTTTAAACCCTATATCCCTCCTTATATGGCCAAGGAATTCTTTGAATTTCTCCGTTCAGAACTTCCGTTTTACAGGGTGGAATATGACATCAAGCGAGGGGGCATCTCCACACACATAAAGACGCCGAGGTGAGCGAAACGCAGAACCCTGGACTTTTGGAAAGGAAGAAAGCTGACGATGCAATACCTAGATGGACAACCGTATTTGGGCTAGATGAGACATCAAGATTCGACCAAGATGGAATTGTGGTTGATTCCAAGACTGGCGCCAAAGCCACGGATGCGAGTTACAACAAGTATCCCCCAAGACCAATCCCTCAGTGTCTCGACGGTCTCCGCAAAACTGTAGAGTCCGCAACTGGCTGCAAGTTCAATTTCTGTCTTGTGAACTACTATGCCTCGGGTTCAGACAGCATCTCCTATCATAGTGACGACGAGAGGTTTCTGGGGCCGAACCCTGCGATTGCTTCGTTTTCGCTCGGGGCTCGGCGGGACTTCCTTATGAAGCATAAGCCGGTCCCGAGCCAGGAACAGACGGACGGCGTGCCCGAAAGCAAACCACTGAAGCTCCAGCTGGCCAGCGGCGAGATGGTTTTGATGCGCGGGTCGACACAGTCAAAGTGGCTTCACTCTATCCCGAAGAGGACAGGAAAGAACCAGGACGACGGCGGAAGAATTAACATCACCTTTCGAAGAGCAGTCATCAAGGAAGGGACAAACAACTATTATAATTATAATGTGGGGAGTGGCCCTGTCTATCGATGGAACGCAAAAACACATGAGATGACAATATGGCAGAGTTGAGGTATCTGAACGAGGATGCTATCCTGGACCCAAGAGAACAAAAGGAAACAGATAGATGTTGGCCAAATCTAAACTTTTAAGAGAGCGCTGTACACTTCTATCGACGGCCTCATCTATTTACCACGGCGCATTTGCGCGTTGGAAAAGTTTCTCAGCGCTTTGATAAATACCTGGTAGCTGAAGCTCTCGTTATCTTGAAGGCAGAAGATTTCTGTCAGGCGAATTTGCCACGGAGGGTAGCTGGAAAGCTCGATATGAGGGCTGAAGAGGATCAGTAGGTCAGGCTCAGCCATGACTCCTTCGGAAAGTTCCGCATTGATCAAGTCCATGGAGATATCCTGAGGGGAGAGTTTGCCTCGCTGGGACATGTCGGCGAGAGTTCTCGTGAGGTCAACCATTGAATCTCTTCCGTCTTGGGATGAGATCAGATGCAGTCTCAAATGTCCAATGTTCTCCGTGGTGTTTACGTTGGGCGACGAATAGCTCTCCTGGTGAGGACATGTCAAGGAGAGACTGGGGTGCTCGCCTCCGTAGTAGAATGCAAGTTTCTGGATGACAGCCTGATAGAGGCGAGGCATGTGTTTCTTCAGGACTCCTGTAGAACCGTTAGTTTTTGGACGAGGGCGAACAAACTCGAGCTGAAAAACGTACCTGTCTTTTCGTAGACCGAGAGCATGGGGATACCAGTACAGGCACACCAGGTGGCCAACTCAGCAGTTTCATCGATCAAACGGTCCAGGTCGGCGCTGAGACGAGGGTTCTCGGATCGAAGAATTGCGCTCAGGTGATTTGGCATCTTGGACAATCCAGTGACGTCCTTTTGGATATATTGGGGCGTGGCATGATGGTAGAACAGCACCGACGACATTTGGTAGCCCACGATGTTCCACGCTTGTCGAGTTCTGATGTAGAGAGAGAAGATTCCATGCATGAGTGCGAAGATGAAAACGTAGAGCTGGGTCTTGATGAACTTGCGCACACCGAGCCGGGACTTGCGCTGTGTCGTGCTATTGGTGCGCGGTCTTGAAGGTTCGTTCATAGCAGGAAGATTCGTCTGTGATTGGGTGTCAGTGATGGTCTGCGTTGTAGCTACTCCAGGGGTTGGTTCGCACCTCGAAGAGATATCTCCTCTGCTGAGGAGTCAGAAGAGTATGGTCCTTGTTCGCATCGGCGCGGTAGGCCTTCTTAAAGGTTGTTGACATCGGCATGATGGAGGGCGGACGGATTGACTACCGTTCGAAAAGCTAAGGGTAAGGGGACAACAATGTACTATTCGGCAGCGCGCTGGATAATTCGGATCTGCCCAGGTAAGGAAGCAAATGAAAGAAATTAAGAAATCGAGAACGACCGTGGTGGGAAGTGGGTGGGCGGTAGGGCTGCTTATGTTAGGTGACAGTCATGGACTTCTCGTCGAGCTTGACGCGCAAGTCGAAGAGGCGATGAGCTTGTGACGACGATTGAGCCCCACTGCTTGAAGATCAAGATCAAGGTTATTAGGTGTGTGTGCCTGCCTCGGCGAGTTTGATGTGGTCATTCTACATGGAGTGAGAGTGGTGTGGTGTGGCGCAGGGGCAATAGCTGAAGTGGCGCCAAGGAAGCTAGGTACGTACCTCGTACCAAAGTTGTGGACCTTACCTGGCCGTTTGTTCAGTTAGTACGTGGTAGCGGGGCTTAGGGAGCTTCGGGGGTAGCCCCAGTTTCAGACGGCCAAAGATACAACTTGGACAGAGGGCGAGCCTGTGGCAGCGCATTGGGAGAAGCATCACCGCCACCGAATACTCGTCACCTCTATACGCCTGATATGCGATCTCCCTGCGACACGACAGCACTCGGACACCCCGCCCAGTAGCTCTGTTGACGGAATCGTCTTGCGCCTAGAGCTGGTAGTTGACACCTCGACCGTTAGCCTCTTGAGGTGTTGGTGATCTAGCCATGGAGCGTTCAGCTTCGGGGCCAAAGACCCTGTTCCCCAAGGGACCCAGCTTCACATTGGAAAACTTCTCCAATAAGGATTTCATTGTCCGCGATTTTGTTGATAGCTTAGCTGAGACCGTCGCGCCATCCAACCGCCGCTCCAACCCGACACCTCAAACTACTACTTTCGACCCTAAGCCTCTGATCCGCACCTTTGAGAGTACGATAATGCCCACTCCTGTTTACGGCCCAGCTCGTTTGTGGTGGAGCTCAATCGTTGCTGATTAAATGATATAGGTGCCCTGTCACAACTAGGGCAGCTTGAAAGCGACCTACAAGAAAAGGAAACCGAGATCCTGACGCAAGTGCGCCGCGCTGAGATACAACATGATCAGACCCTCGACGCCCTAGGCAACAAACTCGATCAATCGATGACCCAGTTCGAAGCCCTTGATATATCCTTCAACAAGGGAAACGTCAACGAAGAAGAGACCATCACCAGGTCAGATGGGGGAGGAATTGTTGCTGTGCAAATTGGTGAGAAGCTTGAAGAGCTGGATCGCAAACGAAGACGGGCACAAGACGCCATTTTCTTGATCCAATGTTGGAATGAGGTTAGCGAGACAGGGAAGCTGGGCTCCCTGCACGATATACAACGGCAAGGTGGCGCCGACAACAAAATTCGATGTGCTGTCATAGCTCGCCAGTTGATGCGAATCAGCCAGCGGTTAGACCCGACCTCATGGGGCCAAACGAACGGAGTTCGTGGGACTGTTTCCAACGGAGTGACGGGTACTAACAAGAATCATAATACCCGAGAGGCTCTGGAGAAGTTCTGTGAGACTCTGGAACAAGACTTGCTCCAGCAATTCAACAATAGCTACCGCCGACAAAATTTCGACGACATGAGGGAATGTGCTAAGGTATTACAAGACTTTAGTGGAGGATCAAGCGTAATCGCAACTTTTGTAAACCAGCATCAATTCTTCATCGACCGAGACCAACTCATGAATGACGAAGTCACCGCCGACGGTGAGACGTGGGACCAGCTGGCAGACCCCGACCAAGAATCTCCTGGAATTGAACCGTCTCTTCAGTCTCTCGTTGATGAGGTCAAGTTGGTCATGCAGGAGGAATCGTTCATCATAAAGCGGGCCTTCCCGTACTATGAAATTGTATTGGTCAAATTCATCCAACGAGTGTTCCAACAGTCCATCCAGCAACGTTTAGAAAAGGTTTTGGATAAAGCCGAGACTATATCTTCGCTGGCGTTTCTGCGATCTCTACATGCGTCAAGAAGTTATATCAACGCATTGGTGGAGGATCTGAAGACACACGGACTGACAGAGCACCCAGAGCCATGTACTGCCCAAATCGCTCAGACATTGGACCAGCAGATGGAGGAGCTTTTTGTTCCCTACATGGTTGGAAATACATACATCGAGCGAGAGAAGAGGAGTCTCGAGGAAATGTATGGGTCGCTGTTGTTCAAGTACTCAATCTTCCATTCCCGGAGGAAGAAGGCGCCAACTGGATTCATGGCCTCCCTGGCGCAGCAGGGCACGCAGCTTATTTCTGCAGCTAAAGATGCTTATATCGAAAGACTTGAGTCTTCTGAACTCACGGCAACCCAGAAAGCTATGATGTTGCGAGTTGCCGGAATTGTGGACAGAGAGAACAAGAACGAAATTGAGGTTTCAGACGAAGATGGCACACTCAGCATCGCCAATGCAAAGAGAATGCTAAAGTGGCTCGCAGAGAGTGTCCAACGCACCCTGGAACTTGGCTCACAGGCAGAGACACCTAAAGATGTCAATGTTTTGCTCAGCCTATTGCTAACTAACATGGGCGAGGTTTACATTCACACTAGCCTTGACGCGGCATTCTACCAGGCTAGCTTTCTTGAAAATTCGAAGACCGAACCAGATATGTCATATATGATGCAGGTTCAATCAGCCGTCTCTATTACTGCGATTATGGATAGGTTCATCACTGTCGTTCTGATCCGACTTGCAGAGTCCAGCGCCACTGTGAGGAGGAATATGGAAGCGCAAAAGAAAACGGGCGTGGATTCAATTGAGAAGAAAACAAACAACGTTATCAAGGCTTCTATGGACGTGATTTCAAACTGGGCAACAAAGGCGCTCAGCACCCAGAAGAAACAGGATTTCCGTCCCCGAGATGGAGCACTGGATTCACTCCAGACTTCGACCTGTCTTGCACTGTGTACATTCTTAAGTCGTGTTCACCAGAATGCATCGAAAGCCATTGATGGCCAGAATGCCGAAAAGTTCTTTAGTGAGCTAGCGCTGGTTATCATTCAACACCTTTTTGACCATTTCAAAAAGTTCCAGGTCAATGCAACTGGTGGTTTGATGGTGACTCAGGATATTTCAAAATATGTGCAAACACTGAAGGAATGGTCCCTCAGTAAGGACATAGCAACTACGGTCGAGATGCTAACTGAAATTGGCTCACTCTTCATCGTTGGGCCCGAAGCTTTGAAGGAAAAGTCGCGAGCGTTGTCGTCTGCACAGTCTTCATCGACACGAGGAAAGCTGACCAAGGCCGACTTCAGAGCCTTCGTGCAAAAGCGTGATGACGCGGCTTCTGTTGGCATTCAAGGCGTCCTGGCTGGTCTGTGAGTCGTATACCAACGACAGGAAACTGGCTTGTGAACCGAACCGCAGCCCGGACCTTGAAGCGCCGTGTGTGTCTTCAGCATAGGGCATCCCAGTGCCACGGGCGGAATGGCAAGTGCTGGCCTTGACAGATGTATATGCTATCATCTTACTGGCCAGTTTCCCTCAAAACTCTCGCCTAAGGCCCCCAGTCTGACCAGTGTGCTCTTCAATCTTCTCGTCAAGGAAATCGATCAGCTCCAGCATATTGGCTATCTCGGAAAACCGTGCCCTTTCCTTTCTGGAAAGCAGCGCCGATTTATCGATACCCATGCCTGGAGAGCACATTTCCTGGACATGGTGTATAACAAGTTTATAGGGAAGCGGGGCAGCGGCAACATTGCACATGAAGCGCTCCACGGCCTCCCAGGGACATGATGAGTGTCCCGCAAACAAAGCCGGGTTGCAAAGCAGGCCACGAGCCGACATGAATCCCGATAGATTGGTGTTGCTGGGGGCAGGGACAGGAGCAACTCCCTGATCTGTTTCCACAATACCGTTGTTGATATCACGGGGCAGGATGTCATTCAAGGTCAGCGTCGCCATCTCTGTCGTTGGCGTGGCGAATGGATGGAAGGGTAGGGAGTTGATATCAAACACGTCGCCAGAGAGCAGGATAGGGAGCGTCGGCGAGTATTTAGCTGTGAGAATTTCAAGGGCCTCCGTTCGGATTGGCGTAGTTGATGTTGTATTGCGGGTTCGTGGATGTATAGTAACCCAATCAACCTGGCGGTTCTGGGGGTGGCCTATAACAGTGTCAAGAAAATCCATTGTTTTCCTACCGATTATTCGTGGTGATGATTAGCCGGATTCCCTTCAGAGATTAGTTCGTGCTCGCAAAAGAGAAGGATGCTCACCTTAGATCGTCGTGTATCCTGATTTTGACACTAACACTCCTACCCCTGGGATTATCAATGTCCTTTTCCATCCCAACACCCCAGCCGTCCTGTTCTAGACGGCCTCTTGTCTCTACGACCATGTCGCGAACAAGCTCTCTTTTGTTCATGAGAGCGGCACCCAAGGTCTCGGCACAAGCCCATGACTGGGGGCATCCGCAGTTGAGATCGACGCCACTGACATATGGCGCGGCGAGGGAGGATGCCCGTGAGAGCTCCAAGGGGCTGTTGGCGCCAAATTGAAGGATGGTATGAGGCATGATGCCCTTTGTTGATACGGTGAGATCTAAAAGGTAGGAATAATCCCCCAAGTCAGCTGCGTTCAAATGAAGTGACATGACGGGAGTGATTTAAATGAATGGAAATGAAGAAAGGGCGTGTGTGAATGAGCAGATGCTGTCTTACCGCTGTCCCTTGCAAATGTATTTCGATTGAATTCTTTGGCGAGAATCATGGGTGTCCAGCAGAGATCAACGCCATAATGATGGACGGTTTGACGAAACGCAAGCTGAAGAGGAGGAGTTTGTTAGCGATCACTCGATGACCCAAAATGGGTAATGAGAGTGAAGGGTGAGTAGGAAGGGAGACTGGCTGACCTTGCTGTAACGCACCATTGGCGCACAGGCATACAGGAATTTATCATTTTTCCTTGCCGTGTCGAATATCTTTAGAGGGCTTCTCACGATTTAGTTACAGGGTCGCCAAGCTGGGCAAGATGCTGAGAAGAGAGATGATGGTGAGTGTGGAGGATGGATATGGTGGGGCTTACTGGGGGGACGCAGTCTGCGATTCCGGGACTGGAAGCATGGTGTATGGCGTCGTAGTATGCAGATATAAGGCTAGGTATAAGTAGAATGGGATATCTGGGCCTGATACTTCATCCGCCGGGCGAGATATTTGTGGTTGGGGAACGGGAGAGTCTGATCGTCGGTGATCTAGAAGAAACGAAAAAAATTACCTGCGAAAAAAGGGCCAAAATGGTGGGGTGTGACTAACACACAGCATAAATACAGCCAGGTATTATCAACCAAACTACCTCAATCCAGGAGTTTGTCAATAAACTAGCACAATTACGATCGAGTTGTAATTTTTACAAGGAATCGGGCGTGAAACTTTTTGGGAGGAGGTTCGGGCGATGGGCGGAATAGCCATTCCCAAGGCGATAAGCGCAGCCTCGCCTTAATGTCACGGTTTAGGCAATTTTCTCTCTGAGATTTACAAGTATAGGGGATCTTATTGGGATATTTATTCGATAGGTAGGTAGTATAAAATGGGACTCCCCGATGGCAAATCCTCGTCGCTGTACTCGGCGTGATAGCCCAGAGTCCTCAGTCGATGGGATCTAACGCCTATAAACCAACCTACGTACGATCAAGGGTAAATCACAGTGCCTGTCCGATGTGGGTGCGCGGCGATACTGGAGACCTGGAGCTGGCTGTGAGAGCTGATCGGACAGTCATGGGCTGTATCTTGAGAGGCTCTTTGGGGGCAGGTCCGGCCGTGGCTGGTCTTTCCCCGTTGGCCGAAGCCCTCTTCCTGCCCTCCGAGCTGAACATGGCCTCGGCCTCGCCTTCCATTTCTTGTTCTTCCGCCTCGGCCAACAGCTTCTCCCGTTCTGCTGCGATTGTGCGCAGCCATTTCTTCTCGGCAATTCTCCGTCGGCCCATGTCTCTGACGCTCTCTTCCTGCTTCTCCTTGAGGCGTGCATGGCCGCTGGTTACAAGCTCACCCATGATAATGCGCTCCTCCTCCAGCTGTTCGCTGTAGGCAGCTTGCTGTCGGTCTCGCCACTCCTTCCACGCCTGATAGTATTGTTCCATGGTTTTGCGTAGCAGCGCCATGGCTTTCTCAATCTCTCCGTCCCCATTAGGTCGGATCTTCCAGTACTCCAGAAGCTGGACATGGAACTCTTCTAAAATCTTCGTTTCTAGGGCAGATCGTACACTGAATTCCTGGCCGAATGCTTCGTCCCTGCCGGAAATTCTCGTCTGGATGCTGATCTCGAGTTGGCCGCGGTCTTCGACTTGCTTCTGCTCGAGCCGCACTTTGGCAGCTTCATAGTCTTCCGCTAGTTTCCCCTCTGCCTCAACCTGTTCCTCAGCGAGCAGGACCACCTGACGGTCATGGAGCTGGTCGAGGGCCGCTCGCAGCTCAAGGAACTTAGCCTCAACTTCCAGTCTTCGGATACACTCCAATCGGACCCGTTCTAAAAGCTCCTGCTGCTGGCGAAGTTCCTCTAGCCGGATATTCTCTTGCCTTTCCATCTCGGCCTTGAGAGCCTCTTGGCGTTCAAACTCCGCGATCTCGGCGAGCATTTGCCGTAGCTCCTCTGATTCTTGCGCCTCCTTCCGTTGACGCTCCTCTTTACGGGCTGCAGCGGCGTCCTTGACTTGGTTCAGTTGCTCCATCGTACAGCCGCAGGTCTTCCATCGCAAGCCGCACACATAACAGAATTGGCTTCCGCACCTACAAGTCATATGCTGACAGGCCTCCTTGTGCTCTACCAAGGCTCGGCAGTTGTAACATCGCTTCCATCCTTCTTCCTCAGCAAGCTGGTTAGTCAGATTCATGTCCCGATCTTGGGGGCATTCTCCCCGGTCATGCTGAGGCCCTCGGCATATCGTACAAGTCCAATGGCCGCGCTCGCAACGTGCCTTATTTGCATTTTTGCGGACACTTTCTGGGCTTATCCAAAGGCTGCAGTCAGGGGTGCTGCAGTAGATGCGCTCGTTGACAGGGACATTCCACTCTGAGGACCGATCTTGAAACTTTTGCTTCAAGTCTTTTGGAACGTATCGCAGGATGGTGCGGAAGGGGATCTCATTCAGACAGCATTTGGGCGGCCATTGCTGTTCATTTCGGCAAGCAGCAGAGATCAATCCAGCAAAACACTCGTGACAGTAGCTGTGACACGGAACCTTGACCACGTTCCCAGGAGGGAACTCTTCCAAGCACGAAACGCATTCCCTTTACAAATCAATTAGCTCAAGAAGAAGGAGTTGATGTATTGATTTATGAGAAGTATTACTTACACCATTGCCGGCGGTGGGGGAGGGTGTTTGACCGATTTCGATCTGGGCATTACGGTGCTTCCAGGCAATTCCTGGATTGGGATGACGGAGCTCAACTCGTAGATAGACGTTGATCTGGATTGTAACATTTGGATATTGGCTCTGATTGTGGCACCGAGTTCCTGGATCGTTGAGCCTCTATTTTCTTGCCGGGATCCTGGCTGTAGGCTATTGGGGAATGGCAGAGCATTCTCTCCAACAAGGTCCGAAGGAGGAAGTGGTGGCAGTAAGCCAAGTCTACCTGAGGAACCCGTTTCGCCAAAGTCGCCAACACGATCGAGCAACTTTCTGAAACGTCCCTTGCGACCTTTGATGGACTTGCTGGATGGGTCGGTCATTGACGAGGCCTGTGAAGGTCGCCTCCCACCATCATTCAGTGCATTTATGGCTTGCATCCGGGCAATGGATGCATTTTCTGAACCAGCGATTGAATCTACATCGGAAGGTTCTGGACGTTCGGGCGGGATGATGATGGGGAGGTATTCGATCTCCTTTGGCTTCCTCGCCGCCTGCTTTTCAGCTGCAGCGCGTAGCTCCTCGATTTCCAGCCTCTGCCCCCTTTCGTGCGCCGACCTGGCGTTGACATTCTCAACTGAGGTGTGAATTATTTTGGCAAGCAACTGAGAGTCAACACCCGATAAGTTGAAAACGGAAGCAGGCGGGTTATAGGCTTGCCAGTCCACGTCAGTGAGATCCAGGGCAGCTAGATTCTTTGTCGACCAGGCATCCGGTCGCTCTCTATTCCTCCACTCCTCCTGAAACTGCGTCAGGAGCTCGAAGGGGTTGGATTCGAGATCCTCAAAGTCTGTAGGCTCATATGTGCCAGGCATGATCTCCTTCTCTCCGAGTCCCGGGAAGGCGGCCATGGTGGAGGCTATCCTCGTCCGTTTCAGTAGGTGGCCCCTCAAGGGGGGTTAGACTGAAGGCCTATGGAATGAAATGGGTGAAGCTTCAACAATGACAGACGGGTGTGCATACGGGACAAGGCACGCGACCTATTTGAGAAAAGGACACGGCAGCAGAGGAGAAGCGGCTGTCTGTTGTATGCGGCAGCACGTTGGGCTCACCACATCTTACATATCAATCTGGGCGATAGCGGGAAGGAAAACGCCCATCAGCCCTGCAGGAAAGGAGGCACTACAAGCCCCTGGGCAGATTTGCGAAAGCCTCAGCCAATGAGATTGTACAACACTGCCTCGACTGGCGTGCCGAGAAATGCAAGCTCTGGCACCTACCAAGCAGGCAAACAGGCCGTCAGCCGCACTCACGAGGGTGCTCTGCCTGGAATCCCTGGTCCACTGGGCCATTCATCAATTAGCCCAGAGTATGCATACAGGACAGATGAGTCCGTGGACCCGCTTGTCCACGGCTGCAGGCTGCCTGGCCGGGCGCACTTGTTCCACTGGCGTCCTTCTTGCGTGCGATGTGAGTGGAGATGGGCTAGCAGAGTGCCCGATGGCTTTTCGGTGCTCCTATTCCAGGCACCGTGGTTCAGGGAACGAGCTGGGGGAGGGTCCAATAGGAACCTCAGTTGGAGGCACGCCTTCTCGAGATGCACGGCTAATTTGCACGCTAGAACCACTCAGAAGCAGCCCGGAACGATGAGAGTTGCAGAAAAAAAAACTATCGAGCAACAGACTGATTCTAGAATTGGAATGTAGCAAATAGTTGATTGGTTTCATGTGGGTACTTATCTTCGAGATCACATAGGAGACCCTTGACGCCCCAGAAATACCATGCGATTGCGGTTATTGCTTGGGAGGCTTGGCTGTTGATGAAGCCATCTGGACCCATATCAGGTAGTATCAGGTAATTTGGAATGAGGTTCACCTCCGCCAACAACAGAAGAGCGCCTACATCAGGAAGGTCATTGCTTGGATGATACTCTATTCGGCATGCTGTACCGATACAGTGGTTTGATTGAGTGACAAGCTCCCAGTTTGTGCCTGGCAATACCCGGGCATTAATGGGTTAACGCGAAGCTACCATGAACACGAAATGCCGCGTATGTGATGGGTGCAAACCCTGTAATCTCCTCCAGCATGCATTGCATCTATCGAAAGCGATCGAATGTTTCTACTATGTATATTCCACCATGCATAAATCCTCCGCCAAGAGATATGCAGCCTCACTCCCTCTCGCAATCGCATTAAAGGTACGCAACACTTTGAAATCTGGGAATCTCCAAAAGCTTACAGCTTAGAGCCTGGCTTGACAAACTCCACCTTGTTGGTGCTATTATCAAGTTAGCTACCATCAATACATTTACCACCTCGACTTTGATCAAAATAACAGCCTTTCAGGGGCCCTTTGGGGGATGACTCACCAAGTACCAACCTGCTCAAGTCCAACCTCCACAACATCACCATCCTTGAGCCAGACCTGAGGTTTTCGGCCCATTCCTACTCCAGATGGCCTTTCGAGACGTTAGCTCAGTGTGTCACGATAAGGCTACTCGCTATTCAAAAGATCCAGTACCACTTACGTTCCGGTGAAGATTAGGTCTCCTGGCAACAAGGTTGCTGCGTGGCTGAGAAATGAGACAGTCTTCCTCACATTGAATATCATATCAGATGTGTTGCCGTCCTATAAATCCCCAAAACCGCTGTCAGAAACCGGTGGTCTGGGTGCCACGGGAACCCCGCGCATGGCGTACGATGTTACTTACCTGAACAGTCTCGCCGTTCACCTTGGTCCAGATCTTGAGAGACTGGGGGTCTTTGATAACCCGGCTAC